TTTTTTTCTTTACAAGAAGTTTTGGACCATTTCATTTTTGTGCATCTTGGTATGATTTTATTTAAATGTCTTTGCAAAAGGTTCATTTTTCTTGGAAATGTGGTATTATAAGTTGAACTAAATTCAGAAATTTTAAATCTTTTTTTAAAAATGCTTGAAACTATTGTTTGAAGCAAGGTACAATTCCCCTATGATAAATGCTATCACTATGTATATATAAAATGTACCAATTAAAAAAAAATCAAGGAAAAAAAAAGTTAATCACAATTCTACCTCTAAAAAAGATATCTAAAAGACGACTCATTCACATGCCATCAAAATTCTCAATAAATAATAACCTAAAAGTTCTCAGGAATCACCTCCAACCTTAATTTATAGCACCCCAGTGTGAAATCTGTTCTACCCAGGGATTCCCTATTGGAACTTCCACTATGAAGGTGTCAATTTTAATGGATTACACCTTCAATTCCACTGTTTCACAAGATGAGAGGGGAGCTTTAAGAGCCTAAGTTGAGCTCCCTGCTGAAAATGGCTATTACTTTCAAGACTGACTTGCACAGCATTGCACAAATAGACTCTTAGGACTTACTGTTCTTTATTAAGAATAAGACTAAATTTCTGCCCTTTTTTATAGTATATTTCATCAGCCCCATGCTTTTACATGTACCTAGTGGCATCTTATTCAGTATCTACATAATTTACATCATCATTTATACAATCTCCTTCAATAATGTGATCCAGATTGTTAAAGTCCTAAAAACCAGAACAGAAATGACTTAAAAAGACGTCACTACATAATTTCAAGTCAAATTTTTCACATATTGGGTACTAAAGATAACAAGTCAGAAAGTCAGCAATGTACAGTGGTTAAGTAGAGTAACAGTTCTTCAAAGATATCAAGTCCTAACCCCCGGAGCCTATGTATAGATTACCTTATACCTAAAGGCTTTGCAGCTGTGATTAAGTTTAAAAACTTTGAGATGGATATATCATCTTGAGTTATCTAGATGGACTTAAATTAATCATAAGAATCCTTAAAAAAGAAAAAGGGGGTCAAAGAGATGCAATTCACGAAGAACGTCACCTGTGGTTGCTGGTTTTGAACATGCATGAAGGACACCATGAGCCAAGCAAAGTGGGAGCCTATAGGAGCTGAAAAGGGCAAACAAATAGATCTCTCTTCAAGACCACCAGAAAGGAGGACAGCCCTGCCAATACTTTAATTTTTGACTAGTTAGTCTTCTCTTTGATATCTGATCTACAAAACTGTAAGATAAAAAAAAAATGCATACTGCTTAAGCCACCACATTTGTGTGAATATTAAACTATACACAAAGAATATCTAACTTATTTTTAGCACAACAAACTGATTAGAAGAGCATGCTCTCGAGTCCAGGTCTCGAATTAAATTCACCTCTCTATATACCAGCTTTATAAGTTTAAGCCAATTATTGACCTCCTATGCCTCAGTTATCTCCTCTATAAAATAGGGCTACACAGATTTTAATCAATAAGATTTGTCTTCTTTTTCATTAACCAATAGAAAAATAATGAAATCAACAAAATAGTCATGGAAGTAACCCCTTCTAAAAAGAAATGTTTGAACCAGGTGTGGTGGCACATGCCTACAATCCCAGTACTCAGGAGGCTGAGGCAAGAGGATTGCTGTGAGTTCGAGGCCAGCCTGAACTGCATAATGAAATTCTGTTTGAAAAAAAACAAAAAAATAAGAGAAATGTTCGTACATATTGCTAAAAGCCATTTCCTTAATGGTATCAAGTTGCTTCTAATAAAAGCTAACGTCTCACCATGAACTGTACCAAGTGACAAATGCCTACTGCAGGATCTGACAGAAAAAATACCCATCCAAAAGTGAAGACTGCTTACTAAAAACAAGAATTGTAACAAAACTAGTTTCTACTTGAATTGGCTATAATTGGTTTTTTTTTTATGTGACATTTATACAGTACTTTCATTTGAAAAGCTCATCCAATCATTTCTTCATAAACAATTAAAATTTTTATTTGGGTCAGTAACATTTATACAAATTAACATAATCAGGCTAAACAGCAATGATTCACATTACAAAAATTCAAAGGTGTAACAAGTAGTAACTTACAAAGATGTATAAAGGAAAAATATAAATCAAAAATATTAATGTATTATTTCATAACTCTGTACTCTACAAAAGCTCAAAGTATTGTCAAAGCAGAAAAGCCACAGTATAGCAGAAAAAGATTTTAAAGAATAAGCCTTTTCTAACTTTATGAGAAGCTTACCTATAAAATTTTTTAAGGTATCATAATAAAAATTAGTGTTTGGGATTTTTTTCAAGGACTTTAACTAGGTAAACTGACAAAAGAGAAATCTATTACAAAATATTTTCTCTAATTTTGTCTAGTAGAAGTAATAAAATTCAGGATTCCAAGCCTAAATAACTCTAAAATAACTTAATTAAACGACATTTTAAGGGCTAATGAAATAAGCCCTAGTAACAATAATATATTGTTAAGCTTTCAAAACAAATATAAAGTATTGATTGAATCCAAATTATTCTTCCTTTTCTATTTTATGTAAGGCTTTATAAAACTGTAAATCATAAAACAACTATACAAACTATTATCTAGAATGGTGACTAATAGACACTAATATATTTTGTGTCTATTAAGGATTTTGCCTGTTGCATGAACACCAGATGAGCATCACACAAGGTACATACAATCCTCACATTTCCAATCAAAAGCTGCAAGGACAAAAAGACCCTTGGCAGAGACACTGTGTAAGTCTCGCTGAGGGGCAGCACCTCTCACAGATGGGACAAGTTTAAAATACTCCAGAAGTTTCCTCTACATCTTTACATTCATCCATCAAGGTAAGCCCCTCACATCCTTAACCTTAATCATAAGCCAAAATGGCTCTGTCTTGCCTTATTCAGCAGGATACTATTGCCTCACACACACCAAAAAAAAAGAAAGAAAAGAAGGAAAATTTATGGATATTTCTTCAAATGTGTTCCATTTGTGCACATGAACAGTTACATTAGAAAATAGTGAAGCCACTAGAAGATACCAAAAACACAAGTCAGAGGAGAGGAGTGACACACTCAGAAACTGAAGAATTAGGCATGAAATGTAATACATGAAATAAATGGGTAAATGCACATAGGAATAACACAGGTTATAGAAACCAGGAAAGTACCTGCTCTACCAAAAAGCACTCAAATGCAACTTTCACAATTCAAACAGTTCTGGTAAAATAAAATATCACAGCTAGAATCTAGAGGCAGGGTTTAGTTAACTGCCAGTTTTCAACCCTGATAATGCAACAAGGCCAGCCAATGATTATATGCTGTATTTTCTGTGAAGGTCACAGAGGGCTCCCCATAGACTCCAAGGCCCTCCTGGCCCCAGCCCCACCAGCTCTCACAGTTTTTTCCTGGGCTTTTCAGCATAATAGAAAGTTCAGTGACTGAAGAATGAAAAACTTACCAACTGAGCTTCCACCAGAATACTGAGCAACATCCAGGAATTTTCGTGGAGTAGGGAGATTTGTAACATCAATCAGAGGGCCAGGAGAGGTATCCTTCACATGGGAGCTGCAGGAGAGAAAGAGCAGCAGTTACCACTTTCTGCAAAAGAAACACTCTTCCACACCCTTATCTCTTTCCTTTTGATTACGACCCCTCTTTACTCTGTGACTTCAAACATCTCTCTAGTATATTCCTATTAAGTGGTAACATTGTATTCAGGGGTATAAAGATATATTCTAAGTGCTCCAAGTATTTTTTTCTTTTCGTATTGATGCGACATTTAACGGAATTAGTACAAGGATATCATAGAGCATGTGAATGACCATCATGTAAGGATATACCATGCCAAACTGTTCTATCCTCCTTTGTATCTGTATTAAAGATTACTCTATCCCTAGCAAAAGAAGAACTGATTTAACAATACTTAAACCTTGCTTTAACTTGTGCTTTTCAACTTATAGTTTTTGATATATTTGGAGAGTTCACTACTTTTAGTTGTTCTAAAAGAGGCTCATCAACTTCAGTAAGTTGAGAAACACTATAATAAAAGCTGGTTTAAGAAATACCTAACATAAAAGAACAAGACGAAAGTTAAAAAATATATGTATCTAACAAGTTTAGTACATCCTTTTCCAATAACAGTCCAGCCTCTCATATTGATTAAACCAGATTGATTTTAAATTATGCAAAGATTATACAAAACACAATTAAATTTTCAAGGTAACTTGTTATCCAAAAGCACTTGTTAAGTGCAAGAATGTAGGCAACACCAAGGCAAATGAAACCTGGGTCCTGTGCCTAAAGAAACTCAATCTTATCTATTCAAACTGCAGCTATCACAAAGGGGCTTATCTAACTCCAATCCCAACAGTATGGAAGCCAAGGCCACAAGTCTCACCTTTTCAGTCCAAAAACACAGCACCAGTAGAATTGATTTTCAAAGTAGATCATAAAGGTAGAGCAAGCCACAGGTAGAAGGACCACCCACACCCATGGGGAGGATCTCTCCAAATAAGATGAAGAGATGTGCACAGTTCTGTACATTTGTTTTTTGTTTTTGTTTTTAAAATATAGAATGCTTCACTAATTTGCATGTCATCCTTGCACAGGGGTCATGCTAATCTTTTCTGTATCGGTCTAATTTTAGTGTACGTGCTGCCGAAGCCAGCATAACAATTCTGTACATTTGAAACCCTCTCACCAAAGTAAATATGGTCCCATCTCCTTCGTATGGTGCTTTTGATATGTGTACATTTTATTTCATTTATGTTTTGTCCAGTGCTTGATATCAAACCCAAAGCCTGCCTCATCCTGCCTCATCCTGCCTCATCCTGCCTCATCCTGCCTCATCCTGTCACATCCTGCCTCATCCTGCATATGGTAGCTGAGCAGTGTACTACTGAATACATTGTCAACATTGTTTATTTTTACATTAATTTTAAAAAATCATGTTTTCAGAAAATTTTGAAAAACAAGCTTTATTGAAAAGAAAAATTATCACTTCAGATATTAATATTTTTACTAAATGTTAATAATGTGTGAACCATTGTCCTAGGCCTTGACAATGATTTCAATCATTAAAACTTGTTCCTTTTTCCTTGTTCCAAGAAGGAGGGAACCATTACTCAAACAATTCTTGAGCATCAGTTACTGCTCTGCACTGTGCTTAGTCCTAAAGCAAAAAACATGAGAAAGACATGCACTAAACCAAACTTAACAATATTCTAATAGTTATAATAACTTATAGGCCGACAAAAACTCAAATGAAAAATAAAATATAAAAGTAACAAAAACAGCAATTAGCAGAAATTGAATTGGCATACTTAGTTCCAGTAACTTTCTATCAAATTAACATCTAAATTATCTTCAGAAAAGCCAAGTCTTCAAATCCAATGGTATATCATAATTTATATACTTTTTTTTTTTCTGGAAAGCTTTATTCCAGAGGGGCTGAGTCCTTCTTGGCAGCTGCCTTCCTCATAGCAGCCAGTATATTGCTCAGCTCCTCACACTTCCTCAAAAATATGAAACGCTTCACAAATTTGCATGTCATCCTTGCACATGGGCCATGCTAATCTTCTTTGTATTGTTCCAAGTTTAGTATATGTGCTGCCAAAGCAAGTATATAATTTATATACTTATAAAATCAGTTAGATCAGATTTATCATCTTTCATCTTTTCTGCATAATTTTGTTGTCTCATTTTCTTACTCTCAACTGCATCCTCCTCTTTTACCTGAATTTTACTCAGAATTAGAAAAGCAGTTTTAATACATTTTTCGATCCTCTGAAAATGCATAACTATGGAAACAAAATAATCACTGAACTATACAGTGCTATTACTGAATAATTAAGAAAAAAAGTAATTTCAATTTTAAATGATAAGAAAATTGTAAAATTTATTTTACAAATATTTAAATAATGAAGTAGAGGAATTATTTATCGAGGAGAATAACAGGAATAAATTTAAGATATATGTATAGCTGGAATACTGCCTGACAAGCCTAATAATACAGAAATACAGTTAGTATATAATGATATGTGTGCACACAAAGGTATAACAGCACATACTTCTATGAACACAAATGTGCATATGATTCACATTAGATGAAAACCTATGCTTATCTTCTCTATTTTAACCTAAAAAATGTATTTCAGTTAAATACAGAGTGATAAACAGCTTGCCATTTCAAGTTTGAAAAGTATAACCTCTCAACCTTATAATCAGAGCCAGAAGTGTCCTCCAACTGCATCAATAAACTTCAAAAAAGTAAATTTACTGAAAAAGTATTTTCATAGAATCATTTCTCTTCCTATCTCTAAATTTTTCCTTTGGGCCTCAATTTTCTCCTTCATGAACACTAACACAAAAGCAAGTAACTCTGGAAATAATTTTTAGGCTTTTATTTTTTTTATTGTTCTACAGAAGGATTCACTTTCAAAAATTCCAGAAAAAAATGGGCACACACAGTCATTTAGTGACTACAGGAATGAAGCTCAATAGAAAGTAGGTATTCATACACTTAACAGTATCATACTAAAATATTAAGGACCATATTTTTCATTTCAGAAGAGAAAAAAAGGCCTCCTTTTATCACAAATCATAGATGAAATTTAGAAAATACTAATTCCTTCAAAGAGTTTTGAATCTGTAAATATTTTAGAAAACAAGATAAAAATATACTGTTCTTTTTAACTTTGCAATTAATATGAATGTTCTGCACTGCTTTGTTTCAAAAGAAATATTGAGAGCTACTTTCTTTTTAAATACATGATTACAATTTACTTTAAATCTCTTAATATTATTTATTTTTAAACAATGGCTGAGATATACTAAATCCCACATAGAATAAGAAACAGTAGTTGCACCAAAATCATCAATTACATATTGTGAGTGATTGTGTTTTTCTATTTAATAACATAGCGAAGGACAGGAAAACTATAAAGAAAATTAACCTGCACTAACAATAAGCAACTACTGCCACTAACCCAAAGGACTTTCTACCATTAATATACAATCTAACTAGGTAAGATGTGCCTCTAAATATGTTCAATTTCAAAGTTTCAATCCATGAAAACTGTTTCTTTTTTAAAAAGTTAGATGTGCTAACAGCTTATTAAGCATTTGCCTTTCAATTAGAGCATTTTTCTGTTCCTTCACTTAGTAGTAAATGGTTCCAACTATGTCTAAAATTTATAACCTCAGCTCATTTGGCTGATTTTATCATCAACCAAAGACTGAGAGAGATGAGTAGAACTTTAAGCTATAAATCTAGCAATTAATATATTCAACTGCAACCAGAATAGCTGGCAAAGTATTTGTCAAAGAACAAATGCTCATAAAGGTATACTGAATAAGACTGAGCTGTGAAATATCTATTGAAGATAATACACATTTAATAAGAAAATTTGACTGAATAATGATACAGGAATGGCTGACATAATAATGCTACAGAGTTGTAAGCTCTGACTGAATATACAGAGAATATGAACTGGGCTGTTCAGTCGAGGCAATGAAAGGGAGAGAAAAGACCTAAACAATAAAGAAACACATTTGTAAACAGAAAACTATATAATTTAAAAATAAAATAGGAATCAAATAATGCAATAGAGTCCTGAATACTCTTTACACACTGAGAGACAAGCATGGACAGTAAGTCCATAGATTTGAAATATTCTCCTTCACTAGCTACAGGATATCCAAAGATGTGAAATCAATCAAGTAACCCAGAGTGCATGCAATAAGTAAAAGGATTAACTATTTTTAATAATATGATTGATTTTATATATCTTACAGGTATATGTCCTTTTAAAATACTCTGTTAAAAAAAAAAAAGCACTCCATTAAGATCATTTTGGTGTAATCCCTTTCAAAATATTTCACATAAAAAGTCTGTCTATCTCCCCCCATACACACAGGAAAGGCACATACTGTTTTCAACCTTCTTTGAATTACCCTGCATAGTTCTGAATCTTAGTTTTCCCCTCCAATATTTTTTTTCTTTTCTTTTTCTTTCTTTTTTTTTTTCCTTTTCTATTTAGTACAGGGTTTACAGGGTCTCAGTACACAGATGAGACTCATAGTGGTTCTCCTGTTATTAGCCTCCCAAATGCTGTGCCACCACGCCCAGTCTCAGTTGCCACATCTGCATGCCCTAAGGGCGGGGCCAGTACTCTAACATTATAGTCTAAACATTTTCCACTTCATTTTAAAAATCTTCAGATTCATCATTAATAATTATTGTGCTATTCAAGCAATACATGCTACTGATGCAAAAAAGGAAGTCTTTTCCTGTTTCCACTCTCCATTTCTACTTCCCACAGCGAACTCCTTATGAATGCTTTGGCATCATCCTTCTAGGAATTTTCTATACACAAAGACTTATGTCTGTATATAGAAGATACATGTTGAAGTTTCTATCCATGTAATTTTTGCACAATGAGTTCAAATAACATAGTTGTTTTCTGGACTCAATAACACATCTTAGAAATCATACAATATTGACACATAGAAATCTTTCTTATCTTTCTTATTCATTACAAGATTCAGTATTGGGGGGAACAACCCACTCGGGCCCCCCTCCTGTCCATCTCTCAGACAGGAGCTTTCTTTCCCTAAATATATTCTGCTCATATTTAAAAAAAAAAAAACAAGATTACACCATAATTCATATAACCATACTCTTCTTAATGAACATTAAAGTTGTGTGGGCTTTTTGTTCTAATAATGTTGTAATAAATAGCTTGCTGCATATATTTTAATAAAATAATCAATATCCTTATATTATTCTATATATACACACACATATATAGGTATATGTAACATATATTTATATATCATTATATATAATATGTATTATTATTGCTGCATATAGACTCAGAAATGAAATTCCATGGTCAAAGAATAGGCAAATATTTATTTTCTAAAAAGATACATTGGGGCTGGCCAAATTGCTCAGGGGAATAAAGCACCTGCTTAGGCAGAGCACAGCAGCCAGGGCTCAATCCCCGCTATGCCCTGCTGGCCCCAGCCCCAAGGCACACTGAGACAGTGATTGAGATGGGGCATGGTGGCGCGCTCCTGTAATCCCAGCATTTAGGAGGCTTAAAACAGGAAAATCACTATGAGTCCGATCTACATAATGAGACCCTGTAGACCCTGTACTAAATACAAAAAAAAAGACATTGGTTATTCAATCACAAAGAATTCATTTCTCCTTTCTCCTTGCAAACGCAGCATTCTGTGAATGTGCCTAACTTGATTATCTGATGATCAAAAACTTCATTTGATTTCTCAAAGCCAGATATCTCTATTCATGATATTATATAATTTACTGTTATTTAGCCATTTACATTTGTTTAAATCTATACATTGCCTCTTATTCCTTTTACATTTTAGATACTACATCTTTAAATGCTATACATATTTTTCTGAGACTGTGTTTTACCTTTTGAGTCCTCTATACTGTCAATTCTCTTTGAGTTTAAATAGCTAAATTATTTAATACTGGTCTTTATGTTTCCTGATAGGCAATGGAAAGCTTCTTTCACAATATTCTTCTCTGTTATTTTTCTATTGCTAAAAGATTCATCATGTGGTTTTTAAATCTAATTAGGATTTTTGTATATAACAAAGATAGGCATCTAAATTTATTTTCTTTGAATCAACAA